ATTTATATTTATATATATGTATATATGATATAAAACTAAAACGCGTTTCTTCCGCTTCGCCTACAAAACCTACAACTACATTACGTTCGCATCCGCATGTGTGTATGTATATCTATATATATAGTAATATATATAAGTGTGTGTGTGTCTTTGTGTGTGTGTGTGTGTATGTGTGTGTCCTTGTGTGGTGTTGGTGTGCTGTTGCTGCTGCTTCTGTTGTTTTTGCTGATGATGTTGTTGCTGTTGTTGGGTGCGTATTGAGGATTGTGACAGCAACCAATTTCCTCACATCACAGTCACACAGGCAGAGCAGTGTGGGTCGGAAAGGGGGCACGTGGCATGGGTGGTAAGAAAAAATTGACTCTTAGACCCGCAGGATCTCGCACGCTTTGTTATAGCAAATGGCTATCCAATCGGGTTGCGTGGCACCCCATTGTATTTGATTGACTTCGCCTTCAGCAGCTGTATAGGCTAAAATTGGATCCTCGATTGCGCGTGGCATTTGTTGTATATCCCAGATCAGTGCTTGGTGATCATCACCGGCAGTGCAAATGTGACAGGAACTGCAAGCAAAGAAATAATATGTATCCGTCTTCTCTTTCATATCCTTATTTTGATTTAGTTTTGCTCACCTATGCGGCGCCCACGCAATACCGTTGACGCACGCTCTGTGATTGCTCAGTCTTGCAACAGGTGTACAAGGAACACGAACATCTAAAATAATAACTTCACATGAATCCATGGCAACTGTGGCTAAGTAATTCGGATCCTGTTTGTTCCAGGCTAAACGCAACAGGGCGGTATGCGCAGGATCCTAATCAATTAAGAATAGTTCATTATTTACATAAAATAGCAATAGGTATGGCATGTCGCAGCCTACCTCATAGATAATGGTCGAGTGCTCGAGATGACGCAAATCAAACATGCGCACTGAGCCATCGGCACCAACAGAGGCAAACATGTCCCGTCCTCCGCCGGCACGTGAAAATGCAATGTCATAGACCTCCTTGTCGTGTGCTATCAGCTGCGTTTTAACATGCCCAGCCACATAGACGCGAGCGTGCGGCTGCCCAGTTTCCAGGCCCCATATTGTGCATGTGGTGTCGATGGATGAGGTGCCGACCAAATTTGGATCCACCTCGTTCCAGTCGAACGATGTGAGCGGCGCACAGAAATCACTGTTTTTGTTGTTATTTAAAACACACTCCAAATGGGTATCCGGTTCACCGGCGCGCCAAACACGCAAATAATCACCGCTGGTGGCCAACAGATCGGGATAGATGCCCTTCGAGTCTGGTATCCACATGATTTTTGTAGTCGGATATGGATGGTCAAAGGTGCTGCAAATGAGATTACAATTAATTACATTTAAATATTGATTTGCATAAGCTCACAGCATGTTGATATTATTAAACCTGTCCCTTAAAGCCCCTTTTTTCGCAGCTAATCTCTGACTATATTGGGTGGGAGGATCGACTAAAGCTTGTAAGCATAGTAAATAACAAAATGCCTACAAGGTAATCTGAGCTACAGTTACACAGGCAACTCAAACTAAATATACACACTATAGTATCCAATATTTTCATTCAAGATCTATCGAGCCAATCTTCTTTCTGCGTACGTCAACTCAATAGAAATTTAATTTATAATCTGAGCTCTCAATACAATATTTTCATTCAAGATATATATCTATCGACTTTAGATTGTCTTGCTATGTATGTATGAATATATACATATCTTAATATATGATATTTTCATTCTGCTCCATGATTTCCTCACCTTTTAGCACTAAATTCGCTGGTATCCTCGTCCAGGCTTATGATTTGCACTTTGTTGTTGTACTCCTCGATGAAGCTACCCAAGGCAAGGCGGAAACGTTTGTCTGGCCGGACGCTCCAGTTCATGGAGTAGAGTGGCCATGGCGCCAGGTATTTGTATATTTCCTTACGTTTCCCCGCGGTCGATGACATAACTGTTGAGCATATGATGTTAATTAGGCGACAATTAGAAAAAAGTGGGAGGTAATTCAGCATCTAGCAGCACTTACCTAAATATTTATGTGTTTGTGTTCGTTAGGGATATGAAGAATATCAAACGACAGAGTTCCTGTGCGCAATTAAAATGATCCAGTAACCGAACTTGTATACAAGGTTTCTCACAAAAGCTAGCTGGGCGGGCGGGCTGGCGGTTGATGGGTGGTAATAAGACAAACCTGCTAAAAATTACGATGGCAATGCGGATGATGATAATGACGAGACAAATTGAAACTTCAGAAAATTAACAAAAAACCGCTGTGCCTTTTGGTTTACTGTACACGGAGAAAATAGGAAGAGAAAACCGAAAATGAGATGTTATTATTGTAAAAATTATTTCGTTTTAGTTTTGAATTATATGTAATTGCATTTATTTTATTTGTTTTGTAGCTCACTTCATTTTGTGTGACGACTTTGGCGGCGGCGCAGGCTAAAGTGGTGCCCACTCAGCCTTTTCCGGTTAGATTTAGCTGTTTAATATCCAGATTCACAAAAAATTCTTGTAAGCTATATTGGTATGGCGGTGATACGCAGTCTAGCTGAAAAATAGTCGTTTAATAACAATGAATAACGAATCGCTATATTTCAATATGTGATGTTGCATACGTTGAGTTTAACTCTTTGCTTAGCAATATCAAAATTGTAATGCACATAATGGTGAAGATATGCGAATTTCGCCAAAATAGCTTTTTGCGAATACAAAAGTTGGCAACACTGTATGTAATGCGACGCGACAGTTTGCGGCTGCAGTGTATTATTAGTAATTAAGTAAATACGGCTTAACGTGCCGCATGGGCACTAACAATAGCAGTAGCCGTAGTTTACTTATTTAAGTATTTATTTGCATTACGATTTCATTAATTTTTAAGCGATATTTAAATGCAAGAACTTTTCACACCTGAACAAAATTTTCTCTCAAAATGTATATACACGGCGGTGTTGCCACTTTATCTGTTGTTTGTGATGACCACTAAGTCGATCATTAATGGTTTGATTTCTGGTGCGATACAAAATCATTTATCGATACTTGTATGGACGCAACTCTGGATTTCGGTAGTTCGCTTGCAAAACTGACTCGCTCTTAAGTGAGTTCTGCGTGCTGTGGGCTGAAAATTGCATATAAAAGCCAATAATATTAGTTATTACCATGTAAAGAAGCTCAGTCAGTGCACTTTTTATGTATTTTTATGTGTGTGTGTGTGTCAATAGCTGATACAATTAAACGTATACAACATTTTTTTTTTTTCAAACGTCGTGAGTAGATTGTGCGTGAATGATGAATTTTATAAATAAATATACTTCTTGCCAAGGAGCTAAGTTCCCATAATTAAGCATATATATTAAAGTGTTCGAGTTCTAAGCGAAATTCACAATTATAGTCGTCACTTTTCCACTTTCCATTTTTGAGAAAGATATTTCACTTTGCGTAATTCGTACGTTGCTTGCTTGGCCGCGTATATATATATATGTACATACATATGTGTATATGAATGTGTTTGTTTCGTCGCCTTTTGGTGTGTGTGTGTGGTTGTGTTTAGTGTGTCGCTGTCGCCAATATCAATATTGCTATTTCATTTGCACATATGGCGCTTATAGGCCAGGCACAGCAGCGCAGTTTTACTACTGCCGCCACCGCCGCACCACCCAACCAACGGGAACGTGGCCGCCAGCGCCAGCCAGCTGTGTGTATGTGTGTGTGTGTGCTTTTAAGCGCTTTTATAAATAGATTTGCCTTTTTTCAATTTTTGTTGTTGCTTTAATTATAATAATTTCGATTTTTGACATGATTTTCGGCATCGCTGCTTCACAAAGGCGAATTGGAATGTGTGAATCTGAAACGGTGTAGTGATGTTTATAGTTGTAGTTGTAACAGTAGTTGTATTTATGAACGCGAGATCGATATGATAGTGACCATGTGTCCGTCTGTTTGTTTACGTGTGTGTGAAAGAGAGAGACGGATAGAGGCAGAGCGAGAGAGATAGAGAGAGAGGTTGTGGCGCCCTACCCCACATATATTCGAGCACACGCATTAACGCACACTATGAAAGCCGAGCAACGGTTTCCTCGGTTACAATGACATTGCGCGCCGTATAGGGCCGTAGACAGCCTGGCGGCATCTTATACACATACAAACAGACATACAACTTCACTATTACCGCATAGCTACCCCACTCACTCATTCACGACCAACATGCACACACGCACACACACACACACAAACCGGCAGTTGCATTGAGTTGTTGTTATGACAAGTTGCAGCGCCGTGAAATTTCAAGTATTGTGATTTGTTGTTGTTGTTGTGTTATTTTGTAAACAAGTGTGACATGACGAAATGACGAAGTGGGCGATGTTGATAGCGCTTGTTAAACTTGTGATACGTATATGAAATTATTAATCAGCGCCTATATATATGTATATGT